GTTTTGTCGTACTAAACGTCAATGTTGCTCAATTCTGATTTGACAAATCCTATCCTTTCATCAAAATCAAAGTATTCAAATTACGCACCTTCTTATCCAAGTTATTTTAGGTATATGGGGTGTGCGAGAGACTTACTTCCACGTGGTACACCCTGGGCAACGCATACTCATACGGCAAAAGTCTATTAACCGACAGTTGACTTCTCACTTCAAATTACCATGACCCGACTGTATACCATATTCGACCCCTTCCACAGTACTCATCGTACATTTTCTCTGCCTTTGTGCCAGTCTATCTCTTTTACATCTGTAAATCACTCTTCTGTTCCCCCTCTCGAATTTTCTCACTTTGATGTTCCTCATCCCCTCTGTGAAGCCCGAAGTCAGCTAAAGAGCTGATGATAACCATCAAAACGCCTGCCAATTGATATAAATAAATAAATAAATATTTTAGGTATATTAATACTCCCATATGTTGGAAAGGAGTATATGGTCGAAAGATCTGTTCAATAAAATGAGCTCTGAGAATTCATTCATTTTTAAGGTGGTAAAACTTTGTTTAAATGCACTATTTTGGTGCAATGTACTCGAGACTGCACATGATGCAAGTTATTTTTCTTCAGAAAAGTTCGTAGTACGTTTGAAAGAAACAAGTAAACAATTTCATGATCGGATAAATTTTTTTTAATGTCAGAATTTAAAGAAAAATTTTTGTCCATTACCCTATGAAATCCTCCCTACCTCCATAATGGTCAAAATTACTTTTGACATACAACCTACTCAGATTCGGTGGTAAACGCGTCATTGTAGTGCCGATGGAACCAATGCTGTTTGATATCCTGAAGTAACTGGGTTTTTTCATTCTCGTTTTCCCTCTTCAAAGCAGCGATGACGTTGGCATAATCTTTCACAGCCTGATCCATCTCTTCCGCGCTTCCCGTTTCATGTTTCTTCGGAACAAGACCGTGGAAAGCTTGACGGTTCACATGGAGATGCGCCGAATGATCTTCCAACTCTGCCAGGGAGTTTAGTTTCCTGTTTTTAAAATGCATAAAATCATATTTGTTGATTTTTTATTTAAATACGGCTTCTATTGGCTTTGTGGTAGACTTTTGCCACTTCCTAATTGTCAATCACTATGTAGTGCCAAAGAGAAATAACTTAAATCAGCGTTTACTAAAATAGAGCCAATTGATCAGGACGTAAAAGGAATGAGTTGTTGAGAAGTGTTTATTAAAAATTTACTCGGAGAATATTGCTGCTAACTTGCGGACAAATAAATCCTACCGCACATAGTTGTGAAAGTGTAGATTGAATTCTGGGTAGGTGCTCATAGGACTAACGATACAACAGAAATGTTCACTAAGGAAGGTGGGAAGTACTGTTAAAATGTAATCTTTCTGAATGCTAGGTGTCATAAAATCTCCTCAAATATGTTTGAACACCATATTTGAGGTATCCAAGGGAATTAGTTTTATATTTGGCGAATCATGGTATCGGAATTTATTTTGTTAGGTTCGCGAACACCGTGAAAAGTAAATACAAATCCTTGGATTTCTCAAAACAAGGAACTTATGTCACTGCTAAATTGTTATCATGGTATGGTGTAATTAAAACTTGAATGAAATTGAAATGAAATCTGCCTAGAATAGGTGAAATCAAACTTGTTCAAAAGATTCGAGATTCAAAATCCCTAGATTACACTGGAATCCTCAATCTGCAAACCTGAAACCTAATGTCAATCATGCCAGCGCACTAGTTTTGCAGATATGGGGTGTGCGATAGACTTACCTCCACGTGGTGCACCCTGGACAACGTATACTCATACGGCAAAAAAGTCAATAAACCGGCAGTTGACTTCTCACTTCATACTACCATGACTCCACTGTATTTCGAATTCGACTACTTCTACAGTACTCACCTCACCTTTTTTCTATCTTTTCTACCTTCGTCTTTGGAACATTCCTCTGTCCCCTCCCCTCTCAACTTTTTCCACTATGATGTTCCTTCCCCTCTGTGAAGCCTGAAGTCATCTAAAGAACTAATGATAACCATCAAAACGCCTGCCATTTGATATAAATAAATAAAAGTGTTGCGGATACCAGTGCATCACAGGGTTCACGAGTTGCTAATTTCAGTTTCATAAGCAGAACAGATGACAGAACATTCATACTGGTGAAGAACAGATGATCGGGGCGGCTTCGTCACAAATGAATATTGGTTAAACCGTAAATTTCATATGGTGGTGCAGAAAATCGATATAGGCTATTAAGTCTAGGTGCTGTGTTGTAAGCATAGGGGAGTGAATGAAGTGAAAATGTCGGCGAAATCGAGACATAGTCATGTGCAATCTCTAGATTCCTTATTTTTCATTTTCATTGGAAGTGAGTTACTAAACTTCACTATACCTCCTCTAACTTTTTCGTTTTTGGGTTTTTTAGTTACAAAATTTGCTCTACTCATAATCACCTTGGTAGCTGAGTTAAATCACTCTCTCACGTCTTCAAAAGTGTACGTTTTTTAAGTAAATAGAAGTGCTCTATTAGATTTTAACTTCCCACAATTCATCGCGTTAAATATTTAAAGAAATGTGCCGTGGTAAAATTAATCGGCCTATCAATTCAGTGGGATGATTTTCCCGACTCTTTCGTTACCCCTCTCTCCCCCTCTCTGAGTTGAAATATAGCACATGCGATAAAAATTTGTCTAATTTAATAAAGGTACATTTCCATTGTCAAAACGGATGGATCGTTAGTCGCGTTATTGTCTTGTATGTTTTGCTCATACAATTGAGTGTAGTGAATTTAAGTACAATTATATCAGTTGCGACATTTGAAAAGTAAAAACTTAAAATTTGCGATATTTTACGTTTTAACTTGGAACAGGCGCTGTAAAATATTAATTGGCCCAGTAAATTGGTTAGAAAAGCAAGAACGTGGATATAAATGGAGAAAAGGAATGTCAAATAAATAAACTGCATTTTCATAAAATTTTACACTTCTTAAGATAAGATTGGAACAAAGAATTTACGGTCAAATGGGATAAAATTATTGACAATCTGGCTTCGTAAATGAGAATTCATGAGATTTAACTGAATGAAATTATTCCACATAACATACTTGACAAAATGAATTAATCCTATTTCTCAGAGTTCCAACATTTTAAAAAAATCTTATCTATGGGATAAAGAAAGTTGTCGGGTTATCTCATCATTAAAACATGCATTTTTACTTGCTTTTTCTTCTATGAGAATGCTCCACCAAAGATAATGAATTAGTTTCCTACCAGATCAAAAACATTAATTGAATTAGATTGAAATTAATGTTGTTACTTATAGATTGGAATACGAAATTATGCAATTCGAACTCCATTCATTTACAATTGATTTCATTGCACTCAAAAGCTTGCAAGCAGTATTATTGTTTGTTTAAAAAACCATGTTTTAAAGAGTATACTCAAGTCATTTACAACCGCATTAGTATTGCCCCTTGGCAAACAAATGACTAAGTCATTTATTATATCTCTGAGCACGTGGCATGCCTTTAATTGTTATTGAATAGTAAGTTCTTTTTACAAGCATTGAGCATTGTTGCTTAAAAGAGCATTTTATCTAAGTGCTATTTTTTTGATAATTTCGGCAAAAGTGTCCTATTAATATGTAATGGTAATAGGGTAAAAAAAATCAATATAATTTATAATAACTTCCATGTTAGTTGGTTAGTTTATTTGATTTAGAGATTCGCAGAGAAGAGAACCAAGCCAAATCATAAAATATTTTGCGAAAGTAATGAAAGCGGGGTGAGAGGGAGAGAGAGCGGGGGAAGTAACATTAATTTTCAAAAAAAAAACGATTTTTATGAAATTTTTGCACGTTTCCGTATACAAACAGAGTGTGCTCAATTTCCACGTTTGATAGGTATTGTGTGCCGTTTTTTTTTCGTGTTCGTGTGATTTTGTGTCAAACGAATGAGTCAACGGTTGTATATAAGCTCCGAATCACTTCATTGATCGATAAACTTAAAGTAAATTTTCATGTCGAAAAGCAGTTAAAGTAGCGGATTTTTAAAGCGAAAATCTAATTTATTACTAAAGGTCATCGAGTGAAGTATGGAAGTTTACCTAGGATCGATACTATTTTCCAAAAAATGGTGCATGTCCCTTAAGCACTTTGAAATAGACGCTTTCTAATAAATTTATTTATTAATGTTCGATTGCGCACTCTACTCGTCATTGAACACTATCAATACTGGCTTTCCAGACCTGATTTCAGGAGATGCTGGAGATGGTGAATTAGTCCTCTTGGAGCCTAATTCAAAAAGTACTAACCTCTATAAATGAATCTAAAGTAGGTATGACCCACAGTAACCAATTGAAAACACAGGAAACATCCACTAATGAGACCCTGAATAGCACATACGTCACCTATGTTTTCGACAACTTCAATGTCTTAAGATTTGCTTTATTGCTTCCTATTAGATATTAATCTGTTAATAGTTGGTTTGGCACCACTAAGCCATTAACTGTCTTATCCATCCTAAGTTTTGTTTAAATTATATTAAATTTTAAGCCCTTGCCGACATCTATTGTTATTTAATAAAAACAGCACCCAAAAGTCAAAATGTCAAAATAATTTCTTATTGAGTAAACAATGGGCTAACCTGGAATTTGGAAAAAAGTTGGAACATGAATACCTCCGAATGTTGTGGGTGAAAGTGGAAATAAAATTAGTATTATTCCTGTAAATCTACTTATCGAGAAAAAACGGGTAATAATTTATCCGCATTATGATATGAGTGAAATTGATCTATTCGCCTTGGTTGTATATTAAATAAATGCACAAAACCGAGGGGAACTAACATGAAAGAGTAGTCATTTTCATTGACACCAACAAATGAAGATCGCAATTCCTCCAAAGTGGTCTAAACGCCAAATATTAAGAAGTTGGAAAGAATTTGTAAATGCATTTCATTAAATCATGGCAAAATTGTGCATACATTTTGATCAGGACTATTGAATCTGCATAGGAAGAATCTGAAATTGGAAGGAGGCTATAATCCTTGCAATAAACAAGCATAAGATCGATTGATCAATTAATCAATAACTTACTTATCAGGATTCATGGTTCTGTAATCAGCTATTTCTGGCACAATGGTTTCTACCGTTTCTCTGTCGAGTTTCCTCATTAGGAGTTCAAAGAATATAGATTCAAATTCTTGACTTAGTTGAATAGGGATATTGCTATAAAGCGGTAAACTTGATCATTAACCAAAACTTCTCATTTCGATACCCAAAAACCAATAGAGCCTACATTTACTAACAAAACAAACAAAAATTAAGTTATAAAATTCAAGAATATCATGAGGCCTAATTAACTTTAGGGTCTTATGAAATTCTTAGCGATTTATTGATAATATCTTCCGTTTCCTTGCAATAAATTGTTCACCGGAAGGCATTTTTTCAAAGCAAGAGATTACAGATTTAATCGCAACTTGGATGCATCCAGTACGTGTATGGCCAATCTCGGTAGCTGAATAGAGCCAATAAATGACTTGTCAGTATTTGAGTTACCTTCAGAGTCTTGTGGGACACGTCATCGCATGCCTGCACGCCAGGATTGGGAGGTGCGACCGTGCAAACAGTGACCGAGCAACCTAATCCGTCATCCTGATCATGATTAAGCTTCCTGCGTTACACTCTATCCGCAACATACGTACTGAATAAACGTGCTCCGTGCTACATGTTTGTTTCCTTTCATAATTGGGCTATAGCTTAGCTGGTTCCGGGAGTCTAGCTAGATGTTGGAGAATCTGCCATAGAGATTTCTGAGTCAGTCAGGCTTTACTAGCGTAGCAATCCGCTACAGTCTCTATGATTCTACTTCAAACCCCAGTATGAGTGGTGGGATAGGCTCCACTAAATGGATTTCGGAGACTTCGTTCTCTAAATTTAACTTTAATGAACAATCACATGACAAATTGTAATTAAATTTTGGAGCTTTATAATTCTTTGCAATTAGAGTAATTGAACTCTAAGGCTCAGTGAGACTGCCATTAATTTTTTACGGTGTTATTGAGCCATCAAAAGCATGTGAATGATAAAATAACATGAAAGTAGAATCAAATATGGCTAAGTTCATTAAATATGTCTACAACGTGCAATTTGCTCAATCGATGTTTAATTTTTCAAACTAATCGATAGTGCAGATATATAGATATAGACACAGTATATAATAGTAAGTATTTAAAAGTTGAATAATAACAGAGAACGAATATTTATTGACTTATTAAACAATTATTTTGACCTTATTAAAATGTGTTGGGAAAATTTAAATTAATCAATAAATCTGAGGTCACTCACTTGTCTGGAAAATTACCATTGTTGGCTTGACAAACGGCTTGAATTAAAGTGACAGAAAGAGATTCAAGCAAGTCTTCAATTTGGCTATTAGGGGAAGTTCCATTTTTCATGGGTTCCTCAGGAGACCTGTCAAATTCCTCCATCTTACCACCTCTACTCTCCGTAAATCGATAGAGCATCAGACACGAAGCAATGTATCCAGGAAGCAGCCACTCAATGTCAGCTTTCTCGGGAAGAGAGTTAAACCAATCTTTATCAAATCCATTGACTAAGTGGGTCGAGTTTTCCTCTGTCTTGTCATCAAGTAAACTGATTTCTTCCAGAATCTGTCCGCAAACCTCTGCGGAAGCATTCTCAATCAAGGCTTGAACAATTATCGGTGAATTTTGATCTGTTAGTGCAAATTTTGCAAGTGCTGTAACTAATATATCGCTGGGGAGATTTGTGCGATTTCTAATTGATTTTACTAAATCAAGTAAGTACGAGTGAAGGTAAGATGTAAGACTGCGAACACGACAAATTGTTTGGGGGTTTGGAGGGGTCTGAGAAGTGACTAGATTCATTGAAATTTCTAGAATTCCACTAGCAAGAGTTTTTAGGCATGAAGAACAGCATGGTGGCTGACGAAAGTCATTGGGCCATGCGTCGTGATTCTCTATTTCCGGTGGCATTAGAGTCTGAACAGAACTCACACGGGACCCGGAATAACTTGATTGCCCTACAGACATTAAAGATCCTGTGTCTACTTCACCGTGTACGTCAAGTTCTTCTGCACTATTCCCATTGCTTCGAGTTACGTAGGAGTTATCAGCGTTTCGAAAGCCATCCAAAGGACCAGGAATATCTTGAACTGATGAACTATAAATAAAATCAACTAATTAGCAATAAAATTGAAATGAAATTTTCATCTATGCTATAAGTGTTATCCAAAAATCCTATAAAGCGCATTACCTTTCGTTCGGCCTTTTATGTACAGATTGGGATCGAGCTATACGAAAAATGAAAAAATTGTGTAACATTCAAACTTCGAATTAATGCCAACAATACGTTTTTTAATTGTTAGTAAGTAAGAAATACCCCTCCTAAGTACATTAAGCTAATTTAAGGTTTATTATGACGTAAATTCAAATAAACAATAATGTTGCGAGAGAAGTTTAAACCTAAATTTCGCCAAAATTAATCAGAAGGGTGAAATTTTTAAAGCCTAACCAAAATGCGTGGAAAGCAACGGTAACTCTATTAGAAACCGTGGATTGTTTTCAAGGTCATTATATGTAATTATCACTGATAAGGAGAGTTTTAAAGTGCTCATTAAATGAGACTAAACATTTTTTAAGAGCGACTGATTAGGGTATCAGTAATAAGTCTAAGTTAGCTTGCAAATGAATAAAAGTTTACAAGGAAAGATATATTTTAATAGTAGTCAGAATGTTCGAGAATAACCGATTGTTCCATAATTTCAAACAATTCATTTAATTCCTAAGACCATTTCCAACGTGTGTATCACCTGCATTACTGGTGATCCCGTAATTCACCATGGAAATTAACTTACTTTGATAAAGTACAGGATCTATTTGAATGCCTTTAATTCGAAGTTGATCGTAAAGAGCACTTAGGGTCCCTCTAATTTTATTGCAGCTCTCCTCCAAAATCGCATTTGCCGCCTCTTGAGAAATTAGCTGAAATTAAATAAATAAATATTTGCATGATATTTTTGATGCTTAAATATTAAAAAGAACACTACTACTATTAATCTACTATTTATTATTAAATAATCAAATAATATTCGAGAGAAAATTCGATTCGACTTACCATTTTATTCAAAGATATAATATGATCAAAAATTCTCTCCCTTCCATTCGGTAGTTTTTCAGGAACCCAAGGACGTCCGTCTAAAATTGCACTCGTTATAGTTTCCTAAATTGCACACACACAGAACAAATTGAGTCGAGAAAGAGTTGGGGGGAGGGGGGTAATTTCTTCTCTGTTTTTAGGCTGCAAATTATTGCACTCGAATTTGTTAAATGCAAATCCAACATTTTTTATGCTGCGCTTGTTATTAAAAGCTCAGAAAAAAGCACTTATAAATTGCCTACCTGAACAATTGGTTCTTGAAATTCCTTTCCTGTATTGTCACCATTTGCATTCTCACAATTAGGAGGGTACATGCCATTCAGCATATTCGTGACTTCATTTAAACAACCATCTTGGCAACACTCCACTTCTTCAGAAAATGAAGTTTCAATTGGGGAATCTAGAAAGGGAGACTTGACAAGTTCTAATGGAGGACAGGATTGTTGCATAACATCGTTGGCAATAAGTGGTGTGATAATCAGAGGAATTTCCGTTGATGATAGAGTGTTTGATTTGAAGTCAGAAATGAAAGAATTGGGCAACTGAACGTGTCGATCATTGTCGTTGTCACCATCTTGCAAAGTTACATTAGGGAGTTTGCTTGGGCCAGGGTGACGACCTTGGACAGTTTCGATGAATTCAAGAAGTTCTGAGGAGACCACTTCAGTGTCCATAGCCTCGTTCAGATCATCCATCCACTTCCGCCGCTCGGCCTCTGAAATACATCCAATTAGGCTGACTCCACCAGGAAAAACCTAGATGCAAATTAAGATTTTTAGTACTCAGGAAATGATTGAAATGCTCAAGAAGGATTACCAGCTGGTTGAAGAGATGATAAGGAGGATTGTCATGAGAAAAGTTTTTTTTTTCACTAGAATTTCAGTGAATAATGTCTCCTTCTAACAGCAAAAAACTTTCAATTGTTCTACTCGAGTCCAAAGCTTCTACATGATGTTTGTTATATTAGAACAAACACTGTTGACTAAGAACTCCAGAACTGATTATCATAACCAATAGCTGCAGATCTTACTTGACCCCAAAGCGATGATTTTAAAATATTTGAAGGATAATCGAGATATTCTACTATCGTCTTAATTCAATGCAGTAGTGTTAGAATGTTACACCTCATTGTCACAAAATCGTATCTTTTACGCAATCAGCATGTCAATCTATTTACGACTAACGTGAACAGTTTCATTACTAATATAAAAATATGGGGTGTGTGATAGACTTACCTCCACGTGGTGCACCCTGGGCAACGTATACTCATACGGCAAAAAAGTCTATTAACCGGCAGTTGACTTCTGACTCCAAACCACCATCACCCCACTGTATGTCATATTTGACTACTTCCACGGTACTCAACTCACCTTTTTTCTACCTTTGTGTCTGTCTCTTTTAAATCTTTGAATCACTCTTCTGTCGCCCCCCCCCCCCCAAGACTTTTTTCACTTTGATGTCACTTCCCCTCTGTGAAGCCTGAAGTCAACTAAAGGGCTAATGATAACTATTAAAATGCCTGCCATTTGATATAAATAAATAAATATAAAAATATGGCATTATATTATAACTGAATTTAAATCAAAGTGGGTATTAGCATTTGTCTGGCACAGTAACTGCCTTTTTGTCTGCACTTGGTTAGTGCTCATTGTCGATTCTCTCACTCATATATTTATATAACATAAAATTTATTTACCTACTGCGACTCTAAAGCAACTTTTAAATCTTTCAATTAACTGCACTAGCAAACTCAACTTAAAAATTGTTGCGTAATCACTTATAGAAGTCTTAAAATTAACGAAATTTGAGTTGGTAATATAGTTATGGAAATTAAACTAATTACGTAATGATCTCACTAGCAAAGGAAATAGTCAATTAATTACTGCCCTTCACATACCATTAGAATAATTCCAAAGAAGTTGGGATATTGATCGGTTGGATGAATAGCTAGACATTTCTGAAGGTCAAAGTATTTCCTCGGCTTCGTAATATCACTTCTTGCCTCTTCCTTATTGTTGTATAGCAGAAGCAACTGCGGCAATAGGACCCCGTATGCTCTCTGTACCAGTGTCTAAATGTTGGGGAGAATGGTAAGTCACCATAATATCCTCTTCAAAATTTAGATGAGCATAGTTCATTAAGGTGGGGGGGGGGAGG